CCAGAGGGAATGCACGGCGAGTACGGGGACAAAGTTTACAGCTGAACGTTTGAGTGTCTGCCATTGAATAATATGCCTCATACAGTTGTTTTTGTATGCCTTTTTTTTTTTTAAGCTTCCCCCCACCACCACCACCACCAGAGAAAGAGAAAGAGAGAGAGAGAAAGCATCCCCCAATGGACCTGGTCAACCATAATCCCTGCTCCTCCATTTCTTCATCCAATCTTGGGCACACATGCGCACATACCACGCATGTTTTTCAAGCTGCTGGGCCCGGGGTTCGAACCACTGTGGGCCATGTGGGATCCAGATTCCTTAACCACTAGGCTATGGGGCCTGCACATTAGTCATCCTTAAGCCCATCTTTGAAAAGATGATACTGGGTATATTAAGGGACTTTTCATTGTCTTGAGATTTTTTTCTTTCCCCTTGTCACAATGACACTTTTCTATGAAATGGAAAATGAAGTTCTGGCATGAGCGATGACAGAGCAAAGACATCACCCCCACAGCCCCATGATCGACGCGGCTCCTCAAGCTCGTCATTGTAAAGGCTGCGTGCTGGCAGCCCGCCAGCCTTGGATGTGGGGCCGTGTGGGTTATCTGTGTATGTTGCACCTCAGGATCTGCTCAGACTCTCCCCTTCCGGGTCACTGTTTCTGGACCTCATCCTTCCCTCTCACCATCCTCATGCGGGTTGTTCTGAGCTCCCTCACTGCACTGACATAGACTCAGCTACCCAACAGTGCAGCGTAAATGAATCTGCGTCAGCAGTCCCCAGTGTAGACACTCTTCAGGGCACCAGCTGAGGTGTGTCGTGTGTTAGCTCACGTGTCTGACCTATGAGCTGGGGCTGGGGCCGGACCCCGGGATTACAGGGCTGAGCAAGGGCCTTGGGCACTGCAGGAGGGAGACCAGGTTCTGGTCCTTTGTGGTCACTAGTGAGTCTGGCCAGCAGGTCACTCCCTGCTCTGCTCCTCAGCCTCTGCCTGTAAAGATAAGGGTTGAAGGAAGTGATTCCTGGGAGATGTGGGTGTCTACAGTCCTGGATGCATAGACCAAGCTCTGCAGGAAATGACAGTGCAGAGAAGAAAGGAAATAAGCCCACAAATAATACTGCTATTAGGTGTCAGCACAAGCCTCAAAACTTCCCATTTTAAAGGCCTTTAGCATACAGTATTAAATTGCTTTTGGGACCAGCCTGTGACTTGGTGGCCAAGGGGGCTGGATCCCACATAACTAACTGCATGGTTCAAGTCCTAGACATAGTGGCTTAAAAAACATGCTGGGAGAGGGACCAGCAGGTGGCATAATGATTACATCGCTGGACTCCCACGTAGTCGACCATGGTTCAAGTCCTGGAACTGGCAGCCTAAACCTCATGCCAAATGCATGTGCGTGTGTGCCCAGAATCCCAAGAGGAGAGGAGACTGAAGGAGAAGGGATTGTGGCATGGCTATTCCCCTAAGGGGTGATTTTTCGCTTTCTGTCTCTGTCTCACTGGCAAGTGCATGCACCCTATAGCAAAACTGTTTCCAAAACAAACAAACCATGCAGGGTGTGTGTGTGTGTGTGTGTGTGTGTGTATGCATGTGTGCTCCCAAAATTCTGAAAGGAGGGAGAAATGGAAGAGAAGGGATTGTGGGGTAACCATTCTCCATGGTGGGTGCTTTCTTGCTTTCTCTCTTTATCTTGCTAGCTCTCTCTTTCCTTCTGGATATTAGACACTCCCACTGACAGTTTTTTTTATTGCTTTTCAGTGTGGTTATATCAACTTATTTTCACATCAACATATATGAGAATGTTTATTTCACAGGACCTTCAGCAGCATTGAGTGTTATGAAGGTTTTTTTTTTAATTTGCTAATACACTGTGTCTTTAATAATAATAATTATTATTATTTTAGAGTTTTTTTGCTATAGGGCATGGGTGCTCACCAGAGAGACAAAAAGCAAGAAGGCCCCCATGGAGGATGGCCACCCTGTAATCCCTTTTCTATTCTCCTCTCAGGATTTTTGGGCATGTATGCACATGCACCCGGCATGAATTTTTAGCCTCTGGGCCTGGGACTCGAACCACAGTCACTATATGGGAGTCTAGTGACATAACCATTACACCATCTGCTGGTCTCTAATTAGTATATTTTGATAACGAAACTTGACATTGAATTTGCATTCTCTATGAGAGAAAGTCTTGCTAAACAAATTAATAATGCAAGCAAGCTTTATAGTACAATAATTCTTCCTAGTTCTATTTCTTCCACTGTGTCCGAGACTTAGAGATTAGGTGATTTACCAAGGTCACAGTTGAGGGGGCACCTTTTACTCCAAACTCTGTTCCATTTGAAGTGTACTTTTGAAGTAACTAGTTGTTAAGATTCTGTTGGCAGGGTTGCTACTTAGGAAATTCCAGCTTGTTACAGTGTCAACTTGAAAGTAGGAAACAACTGCTCTTCTTTAAACAGTTACATCATTTAGATTTTTCCTTGATACCCCTGTTATTCCAAAATCAGTAGAATTTGCTACACTTGTATATAAATGAAGCATTAGAAAGTAACTCAGACACTCCAGCAGTGATGGTCTGAGTTAAACACTGGTACCTTGGGGATTTACTGCTAAGGACAACATCCACACGCCCCCCTCACCCCTGCTTGAGGCCTATTCTCACCTCCCCAGGTCTGGAACCTGGAGGGCCCTCCCCAGACCAGGCTGGAAAAGGTGCTGAGAAGGGACCATAGTGCAGTGAGTTACCCAAGGGGTCTTGATGCCGAGCCCTGGCCCTGAGAGGTGTGGTCCGGCTCTCCTCACACTGTTTCACTGGTGTGTGTGACCTTTTGTAGGGATGTCTCAGCCAGCCATGGGAAGGGGCCTGTCGAATTTCACACCAACACTTGGACCCAGCCCTTTAGAGAGTTGAGAACTGGGTACCTCAGGGAGTCCGGCAACACTGGCTGCTGTTTTTCCAAGCCCCGGCCCCCTCTGTCTCCCCTTCCTCAGCCTCTCCTGTGGGCTTCCTGGCCGGCCTCATCCTGGTCATGGAGTGTGAAAACCAAGCCGGAGAGTGCAGAGCTGGGGGCAAGGGGTGTGTGAGATTTGACTTCAAATTCTAGCTTCGCTGGTGAATGACTGTAGACTTGAGATCCCAGAGAAGCTGGGAACCCCAGTTTCATATGCATTTGAGCACTTGGCACACTCCGTCCTGGAGTTCCCTAAGATGTGAGGCCTTCTTACAGTAGCTTTTACCAGTATTTCTGAGACTTGTATGACGTTTCATAAGAATTGATAAACATTTCTGCTTCTAAAGGTATTTATTAAGTTATTAGGTATACTAAAGTTTTGATTGGGAAAGTTTTTATTTATTTTTTTAATTAAATATGAACATGTTTTGAAACAGCAGCATCTCTTTGTCTCAGCTATTTTTCAGGGAGAACGGGGAGAGCTGGCCCCTTGTTAGAGAGGGCCTGCATTCCATTTCCATTCAAACACTTGCTGTGTTTCCTGGGGCAAGCTGTTTGGTCTCTCTGATCCCTCACTTTCCCACCTGCAAAAAGGCTACTCCTCACCTC